TCTCTCAAAACCCTCACCTCTGGGAGAGAAAGCAAGACTTGCCTGGTTTCCAACAGAATGCCCAGACACTTGCTGGAACCACCTGCACTTGATCAGTTGCATAGAGCCTTTAAAACACTCCTGAGCATAATATGTAGTTTGAATTTTCTTTATGAGATAGCTTTACTGAAGTAAAGTTTGGTTCATTAGGTAGTTTTTATGGTGGGACTAGAAATTTAAGTCTGTTAAAAAATGTTAAGTCTGTGGAAAAGCCCTTAAACGCAGGTTGAGTTCTTGAAGTTTTCATTTGAAGTAAATCCTCACAAAAAAAACTAATTTGGAGTGGGGAGCATGTCCTGGACTTGGCGGCGGTCAAACGTGCTTAGCTGGAGCTCCGACCAAGTTGCCCGCTTTTTTTACATCCCGAACTCGGACGAACTCTGTACTCCTCACCCGCAGCATGGTTAAGAAGACTACACGCCCGGAAGCCTCTAAAACCCCGTCCGCCGGTATAAAAGTACCTGGTGACGGATCGGCCAGGTCCGGCCACTCCACGTGGTGCGGCCTCATCTAGCTCACAGGCCGTATCCTCCCCACACTCGTCTCCGCACGGCCCGGACCCTGAGTCACCCTACCTATGCTCGGAGTCGGGCGATGACCGGGAGTCCCAGCAAACTGTCCCGATACACAAACTGGTGCGCACACTCCCCACCAAGCACGATCTGGCGGACATGTTCCGCACCCTCGAACACTCCCTAAAGGCCCAACATACTCTCGCTTAGAGGAGAGCACATGGCTCACGTAAGAAAAAGGAGCGCACTTATAAAATTGCTGAGTTGATCCATAAGATCACTACACTAGAACGAACACATAAACAGACCCTGGCAGACGCCCTTCTCCAGGAACCTACAGAAGCCAGTGAGGAGTTGCGCCAGGTCCTACATACAAAGTACACAGGCTCTCTGAACCATCTATCCCAACACAATTACAAATTTGGCAGCAAAACTGGCAGACACCTGGCCCGTCTCCTACGCACTCGTCAAAACGCCGGCTTCATCCCCAAAATTAAGACCAAGACGGCCACCCTAATATTCTCCACTAGGGAAATAGTCCAATCCTTTCAGGAATTTTACGCCGACCTATACAATGCTAGACCCAACCCCTCTGTGATGCACAAAAAGCGGCAAGAGGACCTCATTCGCTCTTACTTTGCTAACCTCCCCTTCCCCTAAATTGACCAGACTGACCTGACAACACTGGAAGCCCCAATCTCTGAAGTTGAAATCAATACTGCTATAGCCTCCTCTCCGATGGGGAAGAGCCCTGGCCCGTATGGGTTTCCGCTCAAATATTATAAAATTTTCCAGCCTCTCCTCGTACCCCAACTCTGCACAAACCTTAAAACTTTCCCCACAGGTGCTCCCCGGACCCAGCCACATTGCACGCTCAAATATCGGTCTCCCCTAAACCCGACAAGGATCCATCTGTGTGCGGCAGCTACAGACCCTTATCTCTGCTAAACACAGACCTCCAATGATATGCTAAGGTCTTGGCCAACCAACTGCCGCCATTGCTACCCCAACTTATATCATCTAACCAGACTGGATTCATGCCGGGTAGGGAGGCCAGGGATAACACACAACGGCATTGATGCTGATTAATCACGCTTCCTCCTCACCTCTATCGACCATGCTCCTCTCCACAAACGCTGAAAAAGCATCTGATAGAGTCGACTGGGACTTCTGAGTAGACAGGCTTGAACACATTGGGCTAGGGCCTAGAATGTTGCACTCAGTTAGGTCACTCTACTGCCACCCCATGGCACAAATTAAGGTAAATGGCACTTTGTCCCCCACCTTTGAACTCCACAACGGCACCGGTCAAGAATGCCCCTTGTCACCTCTCCTATTCGCCCTCTCTCTGGAACCTCTACTCAGCTCTATCAGAAACAATGCGAACATTAGGGGAATTGAAGGGCAAGGATATGAACATAAACTAGCGGCCTACGCCGATGACATCCTCTTTTTTGTACGACAGTCCAGAATAACTTTCCCTAACCTCCTAAAGGAATTTGAACAATTCGGCCTAGTATAAAACTTTAAAATTAATCTCCACAAATCTGAACTATTGAACCTCACGGCCTCTCCCTCGGAAAGCCAAAACCTACAGCACTCCCTCCCGTTCATTTGAAAGCCCTTTAAACTGAAATATTTAGGCATATTCTTGACTCCCAATTTCTCGGACTTAATACGGTGTAACTATATCCCCCTACTGAATAATATAAAACTTGACCTATCTAGGTGGACTAACGACCGGCCCTACCTCACTTTGACGGGTAGGATCAATGCCATCAAAATAAATATACTGCCGAGGGTGCAGTATATGCTGCAAACAATCCCTATCCTCCTCCCAGCCTACTATCTTAGGACCATGCGTAGAGTGGTTGATCAGTATGTTTGGAATCACTCCAGGGCTAGGATCTCTCGCCAGATTATCAGGAACAAACGAGATTGAGATCTGGCCCTCCCAGACTTCACTTTATACTATTATGCTGTTGCCATTATTAGAGTTTTGGACAGGACCTATCGGATGGGGGGTAAACGGTGGGTTGAATTAGAATCTTCCTTATCTGGTCAACCCTTATCACCCCTTAAGGGTGAATTAGAATCTTCCTTATCTGGTCAACCCTTATCGACGATCTGCTGGATCCCACCGGCATATAGGGAGCTTTGGAGCTCCAACTCCCCTCTGACTCGGTCCACTCTAAACATTTGGGCTAAACTGTATCCTCAATTACTTGGTTCCTATAACTCTCCTCTACTACCCCTACTGGGTCATTCATTCTTTCCCCCTGGATGCGCAGACATTGGCTTTCGCTCCTGGTCTGCAACTAGAACTCTTAAACTAAATGAGGTCCTACAAGACTCTGGTCTTCTTACTTTGCAACACATGCAAAACAGGTTTGGCACAATCCCTTTTGATAAAGTCTATCGACGAAACGTGTCAAGGGAGAAACATGCCTTAGACCCTTACATCTGAGGACTTGATTCATTCATTTATATGTGATTTTGAATCTACAATCTTGTAAGTGTATGTCTATGTGTGTCTTAATACTGCACTCAGGCGGCTCCCTTGCTTCCCCTTCGTTCCATCCTTCTCCTCCGAGATATTGTAAGGGACACCGCCGTTCTAACAGCATAAGGAGATTTGATCGAAGGTAGAAGGAGAGAGCTGTGCCCGGCCGACACATCCATGAGGGACTGAGAAGGCAGCCGAGCACCTAGAGATTGTTTTTGTTCGGGACCCAGTGACTGTTTATCAGGATCTCAACTGGGAAGGATTCTTTATACATGTGATGTCCTCAAAGGAAGAAAAGTAGGTCCATCTCTCCTTTCTTAAAATAATCATTAGATACACAAATGGACATGTTGTTGCAAAAGTAACATTATAATGATGTCGCTTTAGAGATAGAAACTTTGTTTTCAGTGTGGTTTTCACATTGTAGTATATGCATAAAGAAACACAATGTTACTATGTATAAGTTAGAATGAATAAGGAGACACAAGGAACTGCACATTTATGTTTATTAGTGGATTAATAGCAGATCTAATGGTGAGAAGTATATTGTGATTCACAGTTTTTTGCACAGTTAAAAACATTTATAACTTCGTAATTGGATTTGGCATATGAAACAGGAGGTGATTTTTCACTCACATATTTGTAGAGTTTACCTTTGATTCACAGCCAACCGAGCGCAACATACCGATATCACCACAAAGGTTTGGCACTAGACCTCTTGATAACTGGCGGTATCGCCAACTACACCACTTAGTCTCCTCTCTCCCCTAGCAGCACAGACCACTAAATGACCTACATCCTCTGGAAGTCCTTTTGTCCCAAACCTCCCCTCCATCCCATGGGCTGTCACAAATCTATAAAATCTTGCTTTCTACCTGGACACTCCAGGAACCATTGTATATTTCGCTCTGGGAAACGGAACTTGGCAATACCTTGACTGAAACTCAGAAAAAATAATTACTCAGTCTCAATTCTTCATCCCCCATCAGCACTCATGTGGTGGAATCCTCATTCAAACTGCTCGCACGCTGGTATTATACACCAGACCGTCTTCACGCAATACACCTGTCCCACTCTTCAGATTGCTGGAGGGGATGCGGTCTCACAGGCACCCATGGTCACATCTGGTGGTTCTGTCCTAAGATCAAACCCTTCTGGCATCAAGTCACTCACCTCATCGCCTCTATATCTGGTCAATCTACTCCTACTGATCCTTAGACTTGTTTACTACACTTATTGGACAAGCCACCTGCAACGTACAGGAAATCCCTGATGCCACACTTACTAAACGCTGTAAAGTTCCTCATCCCAAAACACTGGAACTCCCCCGCAATACCGTCAACGACAGAATGGGTACATGAAGTGGACTATTTATGTCTAATGGAGGAACTTACACTGGCTAGATAGGACCGCACGACCTTGTTCAACGCCACATGGTCCCCCTGGACTGCCTTCAGAGCCACCCCCCAATACTTAAATTTGGTTCGCTGAATGTTTACCCTTCTGGCACTCCTGGCTATAATAGTTAGTATGCACTACATGATAGATGCTGACTTGTAAATTTTTATTATAGTTTCTATCTTTTTTCTGTTCCGGTTGTTTTCTTAATTCTCGTCTTTCCATGGTGCAGTTGCGCAAGTAGTGTACCTTATTCAGTACGAAGATAAGTAGATTTTTGTGTATTACCTTATCACTTGCTGACTGCACCTGATATTGTACTTGATTTGCACTTAAAAACTTGTGCTTCAATAAAAATTGAATATTTAAAAAAAATACTGATTTGGAGTATAAAGAAAAATTTAAACAAGACAAGAAAGGAGGATGTTTTCTACTCAAAGGGCACACTAATTAAACCTGTAGCATGAATATATAAACAAAAACATGAATAAGTCAATATTAAAAGTAAAACAAATTCTCAGGTTGATAAAATGCAACATACTTACCTGCACAATGTAAAGGCAAGGACAGTGCTGGGCTCCTCCGCCTATGCTAATCCCAATAACATTCTGTGAGTCTTTCTTCAGGATCACTGTGCCAGGGACAGTTGGAATTCCACTAAATTAAAAAAAAAAACAGATATGGAAAGTCTTAACCTAGGTAATTTTAAACTTAAAATTGTGTCAAAACATTTAGAAGATCCACACATACAGGCAGCTAAAGTGTTAAATAAAAGTCGATTTCCCTTGGAAAAAGTCTGGGTTTGGTCCAGCCTCAAGTCACACTATGGAAACAGGATGAACAGTTGAATTCTTCCTGAAAAACAGCAGTATACTTCTGGTATGCGAGTGTGGCTAAGCATTTTGGTTCCTAAAGCCTCATAGCTGTATATATGACGGTAACCTTCTCTACTACATTTTGTACACATCATATGATCAGTCTAAACAGTCTAGGTTTGTGACAGCTTTACTTTGAAATGTTAAATATTAAGGATACTAGTATTGGTACTGATAACGAGTATTTGGGCAAGAACTCGTACTCGCCCAAATGCTCCCGATGCCTATCCCAATAGGAAGCCGGGTGGTGAGTCATTACTAGGGATACACCGATACCGATACAAGCATGAGTACTCGTGCAAATACTCAGATACAAAAAACTAGTACCTCCGCCATCTTCAGGGACCTGAATCCGCCACACACAGGACCTCCAGCGCGTCTTCAATGAAGCAAGATGGCCGCAAACTCCTCCTCCAAGTCCTCAGTCATCTGCTCCATTCTGACCTCTTCTCCCGCTGATTGGCCGATTGGATGATTGACAGGCTTCCTCACCAGTCAGGAGTGACTGGTGAGGAAGCCTGTCATCATCCAATCGGCCAATCAGCGGGAGAAGAGGTCAGAATGGAGCAGATGTCACAGCCTAGTCATCTGCTCCATTCTGATCTCTGATCCCGCTGATTGGCTGATTGGATGATTGACAGGCTTCCTCACCAGTCAGGAGTATGGCCAGCTTAATGGAGCAGGAGAGAAGAAACACCCATCCACCGATCTCAAAGCAAGATCACGGGAAAGATCAATCAGCTGCAGCTTTTGTCAAGGTTCTGCAGCATTTTACATTGCCTGCCCCCTCCTGTTCTGCTTGCACTCTGGTGTTTTCTGTGTTCACCTATGAAAGAGGCAATCCACATGTAATTGTATGTGACACAATTACATGCGGATAGACTACATCACTCTGGGTGGATGCATGTATCCTGCGTTCACCTATGAAAGAGGCAATTCACAAGTAATTGTATGTGACATGATTACATGCGGATGGACTAGATCACTGTTGGTGGACGCATGTGTCCTGAGTTCACCTATGAAAGAGGCATTCCAAATGTAATTGTGACACAATTACATGTGGATGGACTAGATCACTGTCGATGTATGCATGTATCCTGCGTTCACCTATGAAAGAAACAATCCACATGTATGTATGTATCATGTATGTGGCACAGATGTGGTTTGGACTAGATTACTGTTGGTGGACACATGTATCCTGCGTCTGCATATGTAAGCAGCAATCCGCATGTAATTATATAAAGACAGTGTTCCCTCTTACAAGAACTGTTCCCCGGACTGTCTACTTCAAATTAATAGTTGTCATCAGCGGCTCACAAGCCGCTGATGACCGCTATTAACGAAAATACCGGGCGCCCCCACCCCGCCGCCGTCATCTAGAGTCTCTCATCCCTGCCATGCTGCTCCATGCAGGGATGAGAGACTCCCACTTGTAGGGTCGGTGGCAGCGGGGATCCGATGGAAATTGGCCGGCGGGGGGCGAGCGGCGGCTGGCCGCAATCCAGGATGGCCGAGCGGTGTTCTGATTGGAGCCGCTGTCATCCTATGAGTTTTCGGATGACAGCGGCTCTGTAGCGTGGCGAAGCGGGGGATTGTTAAATAGCAGTGCTATTTAACGATCCCTCTGTGCAGAGCAAACCCCCGGAGTGATCATCTGATCACTCCGGTGTTTGTAAATAACTGGGGACACATAGTACTATGTGTCCCCAGTTATGAATGAACAGGCTGTGATTTACATAACTTCCTGTTGATTCAAGAATTTATGAATGGGGAGTAGCACTCACTACAGAGGCTCCTCCCCATTCATAAACTGGTGATAGTAAATATTTTGCTATCAGTTTCTGAATGAATGGGAAGCCTCAAAAACTGAGTGCTTCCCATTCATTGAGTGCTGGGGCTGCAGAAAAATAAATTGAGGACTCTATGTCCTCAATTTCTTTTTCTATTTCAAAAGGGAAATGTCAGGGGTCAGATATTTCACCACAGCCCCCCCCAACAGTAAAAAAATAAAAATAAAAAATTATTAAAAAATAAATAGAAAATGTAAAAAAAAATTAAAATAAAAAAAATAAAATTTTTAAAAAAATGTGTACAAAAAAACTAATAAAAAAAAAGCACAACCCCTCCCTCCCTCCACATAACATGCACATATTAACCGGTTAATGGCCTCTCCTTCATCCAGAATGTCCCTGTCCGATATTCAATTGACCATACGGGATCACGGTAGACAAGATACAAGCCCACCTTTCCCAACCTTTGTCCGCCCATGGGCCTCCTTATTGGGTCTCAGCTTGGAAGATACATACGATACCCTCCTCCAAGGATGGAGGAATGTATGCAAGACGGTAGTCTGTGAGTCGTGGAGAGAACTCCAATTTAAAATAATTCATAGAGCGTATTATGCTTTCAACTTTGTTCCCTCGCCTTCAGCAACTGATTGGCTAACCAATTGTCCTAAGTGTGCAACTCATCGCCCAGACCTTAACCACCTACTCTGGGGATGCCCCTCTATCCAATCACTGTGGTCTCAGTTGTTGACCTATATGAATTCCATTTCTCATGGGAATAGGGATCCACAGCCTGCTCTGTGTCTTTTGCATGTAGCGGACCCTAACATATCAAACTGGGAAAATTTTTGTATCCTGGCGACTAAAAAAGCCATCCTGAGAAATTGGCTTCATGCCACCACCCCATCCCATGTCAGATATACGTGACATTCTCTTTCGAATCATGCTTATTGATAAATTGGACACCAAGTTTAACCAAACACGCACAGGAAAATTCTTTTCCACTTGGTCTAAATACTTAGTAGCTGAACTGTCACACGACCAACTTAAAGACATAATGGCTACTTTCCAACACACCCGCTGGTACCTCATGGCCAAGATAGATGGCTCCCTCGGGCCTCTTGATGTTTTCTGAGACCTGACATCTCACCCGACGGTACTGATGTACACATACAGAACACCTCTAGTCGTGGTTGACCGTTCCTGCAATACTAATTGAGGTATATGCCTGCTTTTGTGCTTTGACATTCCACGTTCTTCCTTTTGACGACTCGCTATGTCCCCTTCAACCACACTGCATCCGGCCACACACATCCCCTTGGGAATATGCTTACGATCACACCACTCTTCTCTTTTCTTTATTCTTTATCCTTACATACCCTCCCATCCACCTACTTCTCTTCTTTTCTTTGCTTTTCCCTCTTCTTCTGATCTACATTGGTTCCGGTTTCCTCCAGGAGTTACATAGTTACATAGTATTTGAGGTTGAATAAAGACATTAGTCCATCAAGTCCAACCTATTAGGATCTCATTCTAGGGGTACCTGTACCCCTGTATATTAGGGTCCCTTAAGAAATCGTCCAAAAGTTTCTTGAACAATTCCACATTATTTGCTGAAATCACCGCCTGTGGCAGTGAGTTCCAGACCCTAACTGATCTTACTGTGAAGAACCCCCTTCACCCCTTGTGCTGGAATTTTTTTTCCACCAATTTTAGGTGATGGCCTCTAGTTTTTGTAATGGAGTTAATTTTAAACAGTTTATCGCTAATGTTGCTACCACCATTGAACATCTTGTACATGGAAATCATATCCCCCCTTAATCTCCTCACCTCTAATGTGAACATGTTTAAATTTAGTAGCCTTGTCTTGTAGCTCTGGTCCTCCATACCCCTAATTCAAATATTGCTTTATATGACATGTGTTATTCATGCTTGATTTCGGGGGTTGTTATCATCCTTGATTCTATACTATTGATGGTCTCTGTAATAACATGCACATATTGAGGTGTACGCCATGCACATGCGCTGCAGTGCGTTGTTAGAACGTATCACAGTGCATGATTTTTGAAATGCATTTTTTTCTTTAAAAAAAAATTAAACTGTGGCAAAGCTTTGTGACGCATTGCCATGCTTTGTGATCTTTGTGTTGCACTTAAATATATGCCTGTATCATTTTATCACAACACAAACGCAGCGTAAAAACAATTTTTTAACATAAGTCGCTTATTTACAGTTTTGAGTACCGCCATTTTAATACCTTTTCGCAAAAAGGCGCAATTTCAAATTTTCAAATATTTGTTATTTATTAACTCAATACAGTTGTATCTTTTAGATTTAGTCAGAAAATATTTTTTTTGGTGCACAGATACAGATTTTAGTGTGTTTATCAATTAAATTGTTTATTTTTATCGGTTTAATATTAATTTCAGAAACATTTGCACAATTATCGCAGGGCCTACTTAGTAGCACCATCTTTTTATTCTACTGGGTCTGCGCTTTCAGAAAATATATGGTTTGGGGGGTCTTTTACAAACGCTAGCAACGCAGCAGTTGAAAATCAAATCCATGGGGAAAGTTGCCGGCATCTGGGGCCTCTCATCTATGCCTGGAGCCGCTCCAGGCAGGGATCTGTGACTCCATGGATCGCCGCTGCTGTCCCCCACTTGAGACAAAAACTCGAGCGGGGGGGGACAGGGGGCGGAGGAGCAAGCGTTGGCTGGCAGGGAGAAGCCGCAAGTTTCAGGGTGGCTGAGCGGTGAGGAGAACGGAGCCGCTGTCATCCTGTCAGTTTCCGGATGACTGCGGCTCTGTGCGTGGCCAAACGGAGGATCGATAAATATCATTGATATTTACCGATCCTCTGTGCAGCACAAACACCGGAGTGATCGTCTGATCACTCCAGTGTTTGTAAATAACTGGGGACACAGGGGGTTATTCACAAAGCTGCCAAAGGCAGCCGTGTGATTAACTGAGCCGAACACTGTTTGGCTATTCA